ATTCCTGAGCCTTCCATGGTTTCAGGAGGTTGACATGATAGATTTTCTGGTGCCTTCATCAGTCTGTTTGCCCCATCTCATAGTCAACAGGCCCAGCCTGACAGATCACTTTGTATGGTCCCCACCAGCAAGCCAACAGTTTTGATTTGAAGGATGGCAAAAGTAGGAGCACCCAATTTCCAGAGCTGAATTTGTGGAGCCTCATGTTTTAATTGCAGTGTGCCTTTTGCAAGGTTTGGGACCATCATAGATTTCTCTGGGCAAATTAAGCCAGTGATTGAGTTTCTTCCACAGATTCAGTACATACAGAACCACATTATCAGTTCTTCCCACATCTCCTGTATGAGAGCTAGGATTCTGCGGGGTTGTTGGTCAAAGAGCAGCTCAAAAGGGGAAAACCCTGATGATGTCTGGACCACCTCCTGGACCACAAACAGTAGGGCTGAGAGCAACTGGTTCCAGTGGCAGGCATCCATAGCTGTGAATTTTTGTAACATTTCCTTAAGGGTTCTATTAAACCACTCCACCAACCCATATGTCTGGGGTGGTAGATATAAGTCCTGACTGATTTAATTTGTAACAACTTATAAAATTGGTTCTCAGGTCTGTAATGATTTCTTGGAGCACACCCACCCACAAGAACACTTTCATGAACTCAGCAGCCATGACTTTGGCTGTCATTGAGTGAAGGGGTACTGCCTCAGGATAGCACATGGCAATGTGTATTTATAGCTAGCGACACTCTGTTCCAAGGGTTCCACCATGTCCATCCCAATCCATTGAAAGGGAACATCAACTAATGGCAAAGGGACCAGTGGGACTTGTTGAAAATGTTGTGGGGTGGTAAGTTGGCACTCCAGACAGGAAATACAGAAGTCCAGCATACCTTTATAGATGCCTGGCCAGAGAAATGGGTCCAGGATGTGGCTCAGGGTCTTTTCCTTTGCTGGGTGCTCCAAACAGGGCATGAAGTGGGCTAGGTGCACGATCTCCTGCCAGTAAGGTTTTTGGAACAAGCTGTTGGGCCCTGATTACCTTGGTCGTGTGCTTTTTTTCTAACCAATAGATCCTCCCCCTGCAGTTCAAAGCAGGGAAAAAATGTGGCTTGGGCGTTGGCCACTTCCCCATTGACCACCACTACATGGTTGTAGGCCCAGCATTTCATCCTCTTTTTGCTTAGTGAGAAAATGGGGTGCCTTGGCTAGGAGCTCTGCCTCCTGTACCAGAGGGATCCCTTCTTCCAGTGGCGATGCATAGCACTGGTGCATCCCCTTACAGGCAGCACTCCCCGGTTAGGTGACGGGCAGGGGGGGCAGATGGGAGCACCAGTGCCCCTCCTGCAAGCTCCAGCCGGGGAGTAGGGGTGCCAGGAGAAGCACCACTGGCACTTCGGGGAGCACCGCTCATGCTTATGGGTCAGCATAATTGGCTGTGGGGGGATTCCCCCAGTCGTTGAGATTGGCCGCAGGGGGACCCCCCCCCCAGTCACTGACTGGCCGCTGGAGGGGGCATGTGCTCCCCCTGACCCAGGAGGCACCAGTTGCCCATGTCCTCCTCTACCTGTTGTTGTGCTTCTTCCAGAGGCTTCCCAGATCTGTAAAGCGCTTTTCTGAGATTGCCAGTTGCTAAAGGGGTCACTCTCTTCCAGGGGCTGCATCTCCTTGGTGAGCTCCCAGGGTCATACCTCTGAACTCCTGGTCTCTTCTACTTCTGTGAAGACCTCCTGCTGCCAGACTGGGAGTTTGGGGCTCAGACTGGTCTGTCCGCATTGGTCTAGGGAAGCTATAGCCCCTTTAAGAGTTCCTTGAAGCCTTT